GTCACCTTTAACAAATTAAATTTGTATCACCTCAAAAAGTTACCTTTCTTCATATATCTCTGTCAACCGTCATTCCAATATCCTCTCCCTTACAGGCCACGTCATCTTGTACGCACTTATTCAAAATTTTCCTCACGATATGTCGCAGACCATGACAGGCCATATCTAAAGAAATTTTCGGTCACCGGCCACCATGCCGTAAAAGTGACACACACACATTTATTTTCTATGCAAGTAAAATGCCAAGTTGGCACATAAAACATAATAAATATTATTATAAACTTGGCAAACTAACCTCAAAATGATATAAAAGCTTTGCGTAATAAACTGGCAACTAGCTACTGCATTTATCCAGCATAAGTAATTACATAATGACGTCTTAACAATTTAACAGTAAATAACTATGAAACAATAAATCCCTTGCTTTTGACAGTTAATTAAAATAATGACATCTCGTTTACTGAGGTGAACGTGTGAAGTAATTTGCCAACGTAAGGTAACTGAATAGCTCCTAAATTTTCCAAACTAGCAGACCCATTACGTAATTTCTATTCATTACATTCCGTGTAGGATGTAGGACAGTTCTCATTCGTAACGTGAACAGCTCCCTGAAAGGAATATTTACGAGTGTTATGTACCAGATAGAGGGGTTTTAGTAGTAGTATTTGCCAATAAAATAAGGAGCGATGCCTCGGCACGAACGGGCCGGTTCGATTGAAGTGATACTACGGATTCAAAATACAGAATACCGGCGTGAAATCACACTTTTTCGCCATGTAAGGCTACCAAAGGACTGATTTTCTTCTCCTCCCTATCTCCAATCCACAAATCCTCAAATCTTAAATAAAAGAAAAAGTGCCGGAACTGCACTAGAAACTTCTTTAAGCGTCGCAGATTGCTGTTTTGCCGACAAATCCCGTTAATAAATCCTATTGCCCTAGCAGCATTAAAGGTTTTTATCGTACCTAAAATTACCTTATTGTCTACCTACACATTGAAAGGTCATATTATTACGTTTGAAATCTCTTTAATAAATTCAGATAACTTACAAACGTACATAACTTTTGTTTAAAAAACCACAAACATTCGTATATAATGATAATGGATGAAGATTGAGAGAATGTGAATAATAGAGCAATTGCTAAAACGGAAGCAATTCGCACAAACGTTAGAATAAAAGATTAAAAACGAAAAAATAAGTAGAATTACTTAAGATAATGAACAATGAAGATCGCCATATACATATAATACTTTAGTATCTACACATTATATTATTAAAAGCATCTTAACAAGCAAGAAAATGGAAGACGCTCTCAGTACTTTTCCTGTACCGCTTAATAACCGAAGCACTCTCCGACTTAAAACTAAAATGAAGCCCTGTTTGATGGGAGACATTATAGAAACATTTTCGCCAGTTACTTCAGAGCTCTGGGATAATAAATAGGACCTATTAGGTAGGCACTACATAGACCATTTTATATTTGCAGAAAGGTCGAAGTGTGGAACTACATTTACTACACGTTGACCTAAGCGACATTAATATTACCACTAATATCCATTAACACGTTAGCGAAATACCATTCTGTGTCCAATATCACAAGATTCATATTCCTGTAAAGCTACAAGTTTTCTTAGAAACACGGCTCGTCGTAACACAATATCGTTGAAACACACTCGGTTAGTTTTTATGAGTTAAGGTTATTTCTCACGATTCGCTATTTTGCGAAATAAGATCTCCGTTATAGTCATAACTAGACTACTTCATATCTATTGAAGTTCCGATTCTGAAGAACACTTACTAAGAATTCAATGTTAAAAGTAGCAAGGATTCTTTTGTCCTAGTTAAGGTGTTTTAGATCATTGTTCAAAATCAAATAACATGTAATTAATACTTTAAAAATTTAGAACCGATTAAGGCAATTTTATAAGGTATCTTAAACTATTAAACTGATTATGATGAAATTGAAATTCGTATATTTTGAAAGTGATTTTTATTTATCTACAAATACTTTATAACTTCAAAATGATATGTAGTTCATGCAATACTATGCCGTATACAGGTAGATTTAAGTTGGCAAATACTCTGACAGCTAACATGAAAAGTGATTACAGTCGTGTGTGGAATGTACATAGATTTGCACCAAGAAGTTTATTTACCGAGGTGTTGCTGGAAACTGACTCTTTATTAATTTTAAAGTGAATTATACTCCGTTGGTTTTGTGGCTGTAAGATTAGTTTTTTTTGCAATAACATGAATGGTATTGCAGTAAATAAGCACTACGTGCAATGATCTATGTAATTAAATAATAACTGTTTATTTCTTCTCTGAAGAAAATATAAATAAATAAAAACTGTTACAAAACAAAAAAAAAATAGCGCAAAGGAAAGTTTCTCAACTGACTCACTCATCGAAATACATATTTGCTTTAGATAGGTTTCTCAACTAATCGATCATTTGGTCTTAGTATGCAGGACGTTTGTATTTTATTTATTGCTATCTTTTGCCTGCGACTCCGTTCGCGTGGAAAATCTGCAGGAAGTCACCTGCAGATTTTTGGTATAAAAACTATCCTAATCTCGAGTTCCAATCTATATCTGTACCAAATTTCATAGAAATCGGTTCAGTAGTTTAGGCGTGAAGAAAAGACAGACAGACAGACAGAGTTACTTTCAACTTTACAATATTAGTTTGGATTTACGTTGCAGGAGGCAGGCGACTTGATTGATGAAAAGGGACCCAAAACTAAGTTCTGAAGGCCCAAAGTTTGTATCCAATAAGTAGTAAGCAAAGTTAAAGTAAATAAGGAAGTTATTAGAACATAAAACGCGATGAAAGTATCTTGTTAGCGGAATTTGTCTCCGGCTGTTTCGGAAATAAAATAAGGGATAGTGGGTCCGAATTTACGACTGCTTAAGTACGGGTTTTGAAAAGACATCGCTCGTATTGAGCTCCGTAATAAAACAAAACAAGAAACTGTAAAAATTAGGAGACATTCGCGTAATTGTGTTTTAGGCTTTCGTACAGAACATTCTTTTAGATTTATTTTAAACATTCCTTTTACTTAGGAATTTGGATCAAAGCAAAGTAACAAAAACAATTAAAACCTCTTTTCTATTTTTAAAAGGCATTTTTCAACTTTAGAACAAAGCAATTTCTAAACAACTTTTATTTTGTAAAACTCATTTAGGTACCTAAAGCGTTTTAAGTATTATTATATTAAAATTTATATGCACCATGATATAAATTTAATGTTTGACATATTTCTAGTGAGAAATTATTTCAGAAATTCTGAGAAGGTTTGTAACTGTTGGATTTTTAACATTATCATAAGCAATATTTGACGAAACACGCGATGCGCCACGAAACATTGTCGGTGTAAATGAAAATAAATTAAATAACCTAAGGGTCTTTTTCACCACCTTCATATAAGTTGGTACCCGATAATGTGGGGACAACAAATCACGTTGTTTCTGACCGTAGAACAGTTTTTGGAAAAAAGGACTTACTCGCGTAGATTAACCGCGAAAATTTATAAGTTAAGTGTGGAAAAGCCATGAAACCAAATCTTTCTACCTATCTACCAATCTCTCTCCGGATATCAATGGACTTCAACATTTCATTTTAAACCCGAAAGCTGGCTGATATGATGATGATCCCGGTGTGTAATAGGTGTCCTACAACCTCAGCCTAACCATATCACGAATAATAAAGACGGGAATAAGTAAAAGTAAGTAAGTATAAATAAGTGTTGTCATTGTGTGTGAGTAACTATATATACTCACTGAACTTAATTGAGTAAAAATAATATCTGATTGATAACACAAAAAAAAACTGAATATCGGAATCCGATTTATCAAAAGTGACATGTCGTTTCTACCTCTATATTATCACGCTATATTCCGTTTTTTTATTTATCCATTCTCAGAAAAACTGAAAGTTAATTAAGGTCGGCCACTGGGTATAAATTAGTTCGAATTTTTGTGCTGACAGTCCATTAAGCGGGTTAAAGTATAAATTTTATTTATGTATGAATTTATATTAAGTTTTTGGTGACATTTTACAGAAATGAATAAACTAGGAATCTACTTTTAGGTTGGGCAGAACATAGCTAGGATTACGGGCCGGATGCAATAAGGTAATACCTCAGCCTGAAGCGGAGAAGGAACCCCTATTCCTTCTCTGCTTCAGTTTTTAGTCAATATAATATAGCGCACCTATTGAGTTCTGAATGTATTTTTTACATGAGGCATAGCAAAGACAAAAGCGATCCGAGAAACTACAACTGGCAACTTTGTTATATTTATAAAATGTCAGTTTGATTAAATTTTTTTTTTATATCGCTGTCCCATACTGAGATTTTCTCCTGTGTCGTGGGTGCGGTTACAAGCATACAATTTCACGTAAACACAAAAGTCAAAAAAGTCAAAAATCATTTATTCCAATTAGACCTTTACAGGCACTTTTGAACGTCAAACAAAAATTTTGAAGCTATATTGTCAGTCTGTCGGTCAGTCCTCTTAGTGAAGCTATTTGCTCGTTCCAAAGTGTAGATTCCGATGAAAAAGAACCAGCAAGAAACTCCATGGTTACTCTTTTTAAATCAGTTTCACATACAGATTCTTTTTACAAACAGTTGGTTCAATTATGTGACACCCAGACCCGGAACAACAATTTGTAGATCACACAATGATTTGTTTCGTGCGGGATCGAACCCGCAACACACAGTTGCCCAGCCCAATTAATTAAATTATTATTATAACTTCAACAACCATCTGACTTCTAACAACGGCGAAGCGAGAGCGAGTATCAGACTCTTGATGACAAAAATTCATTGTTGGCTGGTGCCGCCGTATATGGTACATACATTACACCAGACAGTTATAAGTGAGTAACTTTTTTCCTTTAAGTTTATCCATCATCATGAATAAGAACATATAAACTTAAATAAATAACAGCATGTACCTAATCCATTGCTATAATTTTAATCAAATTGACTTACCTATCAACTGTGATAGCCACTAGTGTGAACACTCCCGCAGATACAGTAAGGTTTGCAGTGAAGTTGCTTGCAGTACAGGTCACTGACCCGAAGGGCCAATCAGCGGTCACCAAAAATATAAAATTTGGTGCACCGTTCAGTGTGGCCATCAGCAAGTCCGCAAAAGCAAGATTCACGAGGAAGCAGTTGGTCACTGTTCTCATGCGACGATGAGCTGTGGACAAATAAATAAAAATAAGGTTTTACGGTAATTGAACTGAACTCATCAAAACCCTAAAAGGTTCAAAGACACAGATTGTTCCTTCGAAGAAATACGTAGAAAATTGATGGAGATTACAAGAATTTAGAATGTAAACTGAAATACAATTCACAATAAAAAGATAGATAATATTGTCGTCATACAAATAAATTAAAATCTTTTGGAGATTAAAATTGGTGATTTCTGAGTTTAAAATCTGACTGTTGCGGTTCATGCTTTTATTATTTTCATATAAATCCTGTTTTAAATTTCAGCAATCTGAATGTGCTATTACACTGGTCAACACTGGTTTTGCCACACGAACTTTGATAGCTAATTATGTTTTATCAATCTACCCTCATTATTAAATCACAGTTGCCATATGTCAATTAGCCTCCTATTTGTTGTGATACGGTAATACTCATTAACTAGTACTACGGCAGTAACTTAACAGAAACGCTTACAAGTTAATCGTTATAAAAATATTTATCGTTGAATTTGAACACTTTTTTGGGATTTATTAACCCTGTGAGCATGTCAAGGAAGTGTATTAATGATCCTAACTGTTTTTGTTATGTCTGCGGAGAACGTACATTCAAAAAACAACGACGAAATTTTACAAATCTTGTGATGGAGTGTTATCACCAATGTTTTGGTTTTTCTGTCGCCCATCAAGACAAATCCTGGGCCCCTCATGTCTGTTGCATAACGTGTGTGAAAAATTTAACTGACTGGAAAAAAAGGTGCACGACCTATGCCGTTTGCTGTACCCATGATATGGACTGAACAGCGAGATCACGTTTCAGATTGCTATTTTTGTCTCATTGACGTAAAAGGTATAAATTACAAGAAAAAAAACACAGTTATTTACCCTAATTTATCTTCGGCTATAAGACCAGTATCTCATTGTAAAAAATTGCCAGAACTAATACCAGTTGCAACTACGTCTGTTGAGAACGACAATTCACAACCGTCTACTTCAAGTGTAAGTGATGCAAAGATAAAAGAGGGTATTTTTGTTGGCCCTCAAATTAGGGAGTTAATAAAAGATTCAAGATTTGAAGAAAACTTAAGCGATTTAGAAAAATCAGCATGGAAGTCTTTTAAAAATGTTGTTGCAAATTTTTTGGGTAACCACAAGAGTGACAGCTACAGAGAGTTGGTTAGCGAGCTGTTATTGTCATATCAAGCATTAGGTTGCAACATGTCACTTAAGATCCATCTTTTAGATTGCACCTGGATTTTTTTCCTGACAATTTAGGGGCTGTCAGTGACGAGCACGGCGAGAGGTTCCATCAGGATATTTCTGATATGGAAAAGCGGTGCCAGGGCAAATGGAGCCCAAATATGTTAGCAGATTACTGCTGGACAATTAAAAGGGACCAACCAGAAGCTAAATATTCAAGAAAATCTTAGATTTTCTAAGTCATTTATAAAAAAATAAACTTTTGATTTACGAGATCCGTATTTTTTCTTAATATTTTAAATTACTCAATAGAATAAAATCTGTGTCTAGCAAATTTTTTTTAACTGTTTATTTTTTATTACAATCACCAATTAAAGTAAAAAATATCAAAAAAGTCCATGTGGCACGACAAAGTTGAAATTTTGTTGACCAGTGTTATTATGAAGTCACTTGTCTGTCCAGTGGTTTAATTGACCATTTATATTTCCGCTGACAACGACCTACGACGACTGTAAAAAGCAACCAAGCACATTTACCCAAAATTTCCTCATGAGTAAACGCCTACACATGAAGGAAATTATAATTAGATTCCGAACAAATCTAATATATATACCCAAATGTTTGACTTGTATTTTTTATATTACCTACATGTTACACTGAGTTTCAGTGTTATAATATATATTATAATAGGTACTTTTATGAACAAACAAACGCAGACGGATCACCTAATGGTCAGCAATCAATGCTAAAGAAGTAACTACCTCATGTTTCACCGCGATTTGGGGGATTGAAAATTGGGGATTGGAGATTTGGAGACGGTAAATTTGGATCGGGTCTCCGTTAACTTCACTCGTTCGGCAAAACATAACAAAAGCAGTTTTTCACGCCAGTTTTCTATAAGGCCTTTATAATTTGGGAGCCGGCCCATCTGTTTCGAAACACATAAGTTTATCAAATCAAACACCAACAGTGACTTTTTAATATTTTAATAATAAGATTTAAGATAATTGTAGTAGAGAGGGTATTGAAACTCTGATAGAGAGGTTACGAAAATACGAATTTGCAAGTCCTTTATTTAAGTTTCATCTTAAGTGAGATCACGTCAGAGTAGGTCGTTTCCTTACCTAACTACATATAAGTACATAGAGATAAGCTCGAAACTACGGTTGTAGAATGCGAGCCGAATGTGAATGTGTCAACAAGAGGGTCGGATGATGATAATAAAAGGCTAGTAGTGTGTGAAAGTAATTGTAATCAGGAGAGAATTGTATCTCTTGAAGCTATCTTAGAAAAAAATATGGTTGGAAAAAATAATGATAGACTTGTTATACTACGATTCAGAGGAAAAACTGTTTCTGTTGAGACAACTTGATTTATATATTTTACTAGCAACTCGCCCCGGCTACGCACAGGTGCATTGCTAATACTAAATTTCTCAACTATTTAAGGAATGCTTTTATAAACATCAACCTTCCTTTCCGATCGTTCTATCTATTGAAATTTATTGAAAAACTGTATCAAAATCCGTTGCGTAGTTTTAAAGATTTAAGCATTCATAGGGATATAGGGACAGATAAAACTACTTTGTCTTATACAATGTAGTGATTACTAACATCCTAATGTGCAGATTGCCTTAACTATAGGATAACTAATTACTGTTATCATAATATAAAATTTGGCCAGATTATTAAAATAATTTCACAAAAACAGATCACACAAAATCAGCCAATAGTGATTTTGATGGGTGATAGTACAGGAGTAAACAAGCGGGATATAACTGATGGTATCAACACCTTATTAAGACTAAACACAGGGAATATAATGTTATGTGCATTCCCATATGCTGACACTTTGTCAGAAAGTGAAAATAGTAGAATCCATCATCTGAACAATTTAATATTTTTTTTGACTTCTTGTCATAGTGACAAATTATCATTTTTTGACACTAACAAATTTGTTAGTGGTTTTAAGTTGACTCGGGATTATATGTATATTCCCAGGAAATGTAAATTATTAATTGCTAGTTTGCTAGCAAATAGTATTAATTTATTAATAAGTAGTTTTAGTGACAAAACTATATTGTTTAGACAATCTAACAATATAGAGATTAATTGTACATACAATAGTACGAAGGAGGCTCCAGATTTATTGACAAATGTGGATAGTACTCTGGATAATATTCTTTTAAACTGACTTCCACGACAACAGAAGATAACCAATTAAATTACTCAAAAACCACATTCATTGAAAAGGTTTCTTCTGGCAATAATATTAAGCATCAATTTGAATTAAAACATAAAACTAAATTAGATAACTTGTTGTCATTGTACAGTCAAAATATTCAGGGCTTATCATCAAAATTCTTAGAAATTGAATTGTTTTTAGAGAAATTCCAATATGATATTATTTGTTTAACTGAACATTGGTTAAAAGATTATCAAGTAGAAACAATTAACTTCAATAACTATTGTGTTGGCAGCAATTATAGCCGCCAAGCAATGATACATGGTGGTAGCCTGATTTTAGTAAAGAACTCAATAAAATATAAAGAAAGACAAGACATTGCCCTGCTGTCAATTGAACATACAATAGAGTTGTCCTGTGTTGAGCTGGATAGGCATATTGTAGTATGTGTTTATAGGCCTCCTAACATACAGAATCTAAATATTTTTCGCTCTGTAATGGAAGATGTACTGCGGAAAACATGTTCTAGTAGTAAATGTACAATAGTATGTGGCGATTTTAATGTTGATCTCTTAGAAAACAATTCTCATTGTACAAACTTGTTAAGTCTCTTTCAATCATTTGATTTGTCTAATGTTTTCCTTGAGCCCACCCGAGTAACATCCACCTCGGCAACTTGTATAGATAATATTTTCTGTAACTGTGATTATTTACAAAGTGAAATTGTAAATAGATTACCATCTGATCACAGTGGGCTCACAGTTAACTTTAATACTATAACAACTGTGCCAAAAAAGGAAATATTGTTTAGACAAATTACGTACAAAAAAATTTATTCATTAAATAATAAGCTAAAACATGAATTATGCAGCCAAGTACAAGACAATAATTGCCCGAGTGAGATATATGCTAATTTATTATCCCTTATAAAAATACAATTCGATAAACTATTTCCTTTAAAACGTAAAAATGTTCAGTGTAAATTTGTATTCTGTGACTGGGCTACACCAGGTATTCGTATAAGTAGAGACAGGTTATTTGAGCTATACGGCCTGAAACCATTTAATAGTAGCGAGGCTTTTCGCAGACATGTTTCCAAATATTCAAAAATATTTAAAATAGTATGTAAGCATGCTAAGTCGCTCCACATTAGTAATAAAATCAGGACCGCGGAAAACAAAATAAAAGCTACCTGGAATATAATTAATAAAGAAACAGGTAGAAATAAATCACAAAACACTGAATTTAATTTAAAAACCGAAAAGGGATATACTAGTTCAAATTCGTCAGTTGCCCAGGAATTCGAAAGATTCTTTAAAAATATTCCTCTTAAAACTACGGAAACGTTAAAATCATCTCCAGCACTTTCTGTCGAGCTTCTCAGGGGTAACGTCAAAGAATGTCCTTCTGACTTTAGCTTTCAATACACAACCCCCCAGGCAGTAATAAAGGCGTTCAATGAGATCAAAGTAAAGTCAACTGAAGATCTTTGGGGAATGTCTGTTCGAGTGTGCAGGTCGTTTATAGAGACAATTGCGCCGCACTTAACTTTCATTTTTAATAAAAGTGTAGATCAAGGGGTTTTCCCGGATTTAATGAAACATAG